CCAATATGATGTGGGGGGTAAAGGAGACAGAGGCAGCAGCTATGATGACTCCCAAGTTTCTTACTTGGGGCCTCAAACGTAGGAGTTGGGGCCTCAGGTGTAGAAGTTGGGGCCATTCACTAGGACATGGGACACGGGAGCAGGAGCCCTCTGTGGGTCTGGGAGACTTGGGAAAGGCACTCAATTGTGTCTCCTTCTCTGTGGCCTCATCTCTAAAACGGGGGTGATGCTGCCCACCCCTGGCCCCTGCCCAGCGTGCTGGGGGCCGGAGCTGATAACAGAGGGCATGCTGACAATGGAGAAGTGAATAGTTGATGGAGAAAGTTACGACTAGAGGAGATTTAAAGAATGAAATGTTCTCTGTCTCTCTAAGTGAATAGATCAGAGCCAGAAACATTCCTTCTAGGTGTTTTTTTTATTATTATTATGTAAGTTTCAGGTGTACAGCAGTATAATTCAGTAGGTCAGATGGAGAAAGACAAATATGGTAGGATTTCACTCATCGGTGGAATCTAAACAAACAAAACAAAACAAACAAACAAAATAAAACAAAAACAAACTCAATCCTTCTGGTCTGACACTGCTACTCAGTGTCCACATCATGGCCCACCTTGACCCGGCCTCTGTGAGCTGTAAAACGAGGAGCACAATGTGGTCCCACCTCTAGGCAGGGCGGGATGTGAGGAGGGAGGGGAGAGGCCCTTCACAGGATGGTTGATCTGTCCCCGGAAGTGAGGCAGCAGCAGGAAGGATGAATGAGTATGGAGCCAGGTCAGGGTCCAGAGAGGGCTGGATGCTAGAGAGCGGGACGCGGGTGGGCAGACGCAGCATGTGAGACTTGGAGGAGCTGGTACCTTGCAGATGGTTGGGGGATGGTGGTGGGGCAGGGAGAGTGAAGAACAGTTGTGACCCGGGAGAATCAGGGTGGTTCCGGCCCAGGACTGCCTCACTGGCCTTCCCGGACCCTCGAGAGCGTTACCAGGATGGCTGGCAGGGCAGCCATCTTCACCACGAGTCCTCAGCGAAGAGAGGAAGAGAGGAGATCATTGGCCTCAAGGATGTCTGAACTCAAGGGCACCCAGTTTGCAGTGCCTCCCAGGCCCTGAACTACTTCCTGTTCCCACCAAGCATCCAGTGGAGGCACCAGACTTTTCTCCTATGTGACTGGTAGGCCCTTGAGTGTAGGGGCTCCTATCCTTTAGTTGCAAACATCTCACTGGAATACTTAGAAAGGCTAGTTCATGCAATAATATAAAATTCAGAATGGAGGGGCCGGCCCAGTGGTGCAGTGGTTAAGTTTGTACATCCCTCTTTGGCGACCCGGGGTTCGCAGGTTCGGATCCCGGGTGCAGACATGGTGCCGTTTGTCAAGCCATGCTGTGGTAGGCGTCCCACATGTAAAGTAGAGGAAGATGGGCACAGATGTTAGCTCAGGGCCAGTCTCCCTCGGCAAAAAAAAAAAGAGGACTGGCGGCAGATGTTAGCTCAGGGCTAATCTTCCTCCAAAAAAAAAAAATTCAGAATGGAAATTAGTATTCAGTTGTGTCCCCTTCTCTCAACTGGAGTAGAAGGTAGGTGAAAACCTGCTGTCTGAGAGGCCAAGGGGTTAGCTTCCTGCTTTCTCAGCTCACATCCCCCCAACTTGCTAAAGAAGGTTAACAATTGGGCTGGGCGCGAGGGAATGAGGGGGCAAGAGTGGGGTCTGACGTAGGCTCCTCGTGAGGCAACACCTGAAGCTGAGGTTTTCCCATGTGGTACAGTCGTGGTCTCTTCAGAGACCCCCCCCCCCTTTTGGGCCCTCTGACCACAGGCCCTGTGACGCTGTTGGCCCCTCTGCACCGAATCTCACTGTTGGGTCCCCTCGGCCTCCCACGTTCTGCTCTCCTGCCAGGCTCTTCCGCCTCTCCGCGAGCTGAGAAACACTCGCACATCCCTGCTGACCGTTCTGGGAGCGGAGCCCAGTCCCGGGGCAGCCTCTTCTGTACTGCCTGGGCTGCTCGGCTGTCTCAGCGTTTCCTGGTCCCCCAGTCGGCGGCAACACGGTGCAAGACTCCCTCCTGGGACGGTGCAAGGCTCTCGGCAGGCGTGGGGGGAGGAGGCTGCCCCTCCACGCCCCTGAAGAGAGTGGTGGGCACTTGGCAACAGCGCCCTCCAAAGGAATCTTTTCCCAACTCCTTCTCTCTTCTCCGGATCTTACAGACTCTTCCGTGTTCTCAAGCCGCGGGTTGTGCTCAAGGATCATAGAACCAGCTTTATGATATTTCCCTTGTGAATTCTGCACGTTGTGAACTTGCCCACACTCGGCCATGCCTGGGCCTCGGGGGAGACTGAGGCAGGAGAAGTCGCATCTAACAGGTCTGTTAACAGTGTGGGTAGAAACCCTGGTAGGGTGGGGAGTGGGGGGTCAGTTCAGAGTCTCGATTCACTCCCTCATGTGCTCCATCACCCACACAGTGGCCTGTTCTTTGAGTCAGGAACCCGGAGACACCCCAGGGACTGGACAACCTTAACGTTTAAACAGTCCTTATTCCATTCAATTTGGATTGTTTTTAAGTCATCCATTTTTAGGTGAGGCTCCTGGCTGGGACGAAATTCAGCAGAGTATGAAAGTGGGCAAGACTGCTGGACAAACTTGGGGTGCAAATGTGGGCATATCTCTCGTTTTTCCAGTTGCATGGCAAGTGACCTCCATTTACTTGGCAGAAAAATCTGCATCTGCTTGAGGTCGCCCTCTCACCTATCCAAGAGGTCGGGGTGTGTGAGGGACAGAGGACTGGGAGCCGCTGTGTCCGCCGCTGCCGCTGCCCGAAGCTGCCACACGGTGGCGCTGTAGAGAGCGGTCCCTCGCCTGCCACAAAGGGGCTTTTGTCCGCGTCCCCGCGCAGACGCTCAGGTTCTCCGAGGGAGGATGACCCCGTTCCCTCAGCGGTCACCTCAGCCAGGGGTGACCCCGACTTGAGATCACGAGGTTGCAGCTCAGCTGAGTTCTGCCGCCAGTTTTCTTTCCCAGCCGCCGTCCAGGTGCCAGCTGGTCCCAGGAGCCCCAGGGCAGCACCAGCGCCCAGGGATCCCAGAGAACCTTTGTTTTCAACTCAAAACACAAGGCGTCCTGTTATCACCCGTCCCCCCTCCCATGACAAGTAGACAACGGGGCTACTTGCCATGCATATAGACTTCTGAGAAAAGGACCCTCAGTGACTCCCTGGGGCATTCCAGCCTGCCGTACCTCTTCCTTTCCCTGCCCGCCTTCTCAGGGCGGCAGCCAGGGAGGCGATGGTGATTTTCTGTCCGAGTCTACAGGCCAAGAAGTTGGCACTTTTCTCACTAAAGAAAAGGATGACAATTTAATCTTGTAATATTTTGCAGGCACCCCTCTTGTAAGTCACCCTGCCTCAAAGAGTAAAAGTGTGTTTAACCTGCTTTAAGATCCAGAACAGTCCGTGGCCCTGACCTTCAGAGCAGACCCCTGGGAACCATTTGAAAGCAGTGCTGCCGTTGGCCCCTCCCACTGATAAGGAAGTGACTTCAGGTGCCCAGGGCTTGTTCACCCATGGCAATCAATGTTAAAGCTTCCAAGAGCAAAGGGTGGGCTCCATGGGGATGCAGAGTGGGGAACCCCGTGCTTTTGCTGCAGGGATGGAAATCACAGAGTGCTGGATGTCACGCCCATCGCTAAGCCACACCTCATCATTACTGAACAGGAACCAGGCACTGAGGGGAGCAGAAGGCTTCCAGGGTGAGACAATACATCCCACAATCTGGGGTAACAACAGCGGCCATCTTTAAACATGGGTGATATGCAAAGCATTGGGGGGGGCACTTTGCATATGTTATTTCTAATCCTCGTGACTGCTCTGTCTGCTAGATATTTACTACCCCATTTTACAGATGAGAAAAGTGTGGCTCAGAGAATTTAACTACCCAGTCCAGTGCCACACAGCTAGTTATTTGTGGAGTTGGGATTCAAACCCAGTGCTTAGGACTCTACAACTCATTCTCTTCCCATAATCCTATGTTGTCTCTCAGGAATGGTGTCCACCTTGGAAAAGGATGGCAAGGAGAAGGTAGTTGGCAATGGATCTTGCCACATTGCAGGGTTCCTTGTGAGATTTAAAGTTTAGACAAATGATTGCTTTGCCTGTGAGTCAGCCACAAAAATCATTGTGACCTACATCCCTGGCAGAAAGAGTGGGTGGGAGCAAAGGGCAGAGAATAAATGTGAGCACTTCTTCTCTTGGGTAGTGGGTGGGCTTCTTGTTCATCTGCACCCTCTGTCACATCTCTGTGCCTTTGCCTCACCGCTCCTCTGCCTGGAGTCACCTTCAACCCCACCCTGCTCCACTTGGGGAAAGTCTGTCTCCTCTGTGAAGGCGTTCTTTCCCTGAGGGCTCCCCCAACACGCAGGTAAAGTGAGCTGCTCTCCCATCTGTGTTCCCATCGTTCTTGTGCAGGCAGCAGTGCAACTGCATCGTGAAAGGCACACTCACTGTTTGTTTAGGCCTGGGGCTGCCATGGTGGGTTGGGAGTTCTCTTTTACCCAAGACCAAAGCAGATGCCAGGAATAACCAGCGCCCAATCATTCAAGGAGAAGGAGATCTGAAGGAGGTCTGCAGAACCCCCAAACCAAAGGGGGCCATGGTCAGGGGGTATAGCTGGGACCAGCAGCCAGGACCCTGGAAAGGGTGATGAAAACCAGCACCAGCAAGGCAGGCCTGAAGGTGCAGCATCTACGCGGTGCCTGCATATCCATGGTGGGTCCTCAGTAAGTGGGTGATGAATGGGGGAGGAATGATGGAGTATGATGAACAGCCTTGATTAAGCCAAACCCGAGGGTGTATTTGTCACAGGCAGTTACCGCAGTCTGGGTTGAAGTCATAATTCTCCCAAGAACTCGTCATGCTCCTGGAACTTCCCCCTTGGTTTCCCAACTGACTTCCCACTAGTTTGACCAAAGACCTGGACTGCTTGAACTGGTAAACCACACCGACCATCCCTGCCAGCTGCACTCTGAGTGCTTCCCTCTGCAGGCGCCTGTTTGCAGAGCTGGAAGGAGCCGAGCCCTACTCAGTGGTGCAGGATGACTCAACCCCTCATTTAGGGGCCAGCCCCTACTCCTGGCCATGAATCTAACTGTGCCCAACACCCCCTTGTTTTCCTAACCGGGTATTGGGAATTTCCTTGGTTAAGCCTCCAGGTCTTCCCTCCTTCCGGATTTAATGAGCTCATTTATTTTTCTTTTTCACTTAGCAGGTTGTAGGGCTGGTTAATGAGTAGTGGGGTTCTCTTTAAGAGCCAAGTTGGGCCCAGCTCAGGGCACTTTTCTTGCCATTGCCAGCTCTCCAGTCCCCAGGGTCTCTTGCAGTCTCTCCCCAGCTCTGGCAGCTGCCCTCCCACTGCAATTCCTCTCTGCGGAAGTTTCTGGAATACAATGACACATCGGCCTCAGGGTTTTGTTTTGTTTTGTTTCTTCCCATATCTTCCCTGGGACAGTTGTCTCGAGATGAGCTTGTGCTTTCTAAAGAGAAGAAGCCGTGGAAGCATTGGGAAAAGAGATCTATTTTTAAATACAGACGCTCCCCTTGGAGTTTTGCCTGAAGCTTTTGGTAGACTTTGGGGTAGGGGGGCTGGCTGTGAATTCCAGGGAGACTCGCCAGAGGCTCTTTAAAGCCTCCCTTGTGTGAAGCTGATGTAAGGAGCTGCCAGGAGGGAGCGCTAATGGAGGGAACTTGGAAGCCTGGCTGCGGTGGTTGGTGCTTGGGCAACTCAGCCCACAGCGAATGAGAAAGAATGCGGGGTCCGCATGGCCACAACGGGAATCTACAGCCGCTGACTCAGTTCCCTGAAGATCCTCGAGGTAATGACTTCACAGCTGCTTTGTTGAAACGTGCACCGCAGACAGTTTAGCCCAAAGAGTCTCCTTGTTCGTTTGTCCGTCCATCGGTCCATCCATCCATCTGTCCGTCTGTCCAATAAGCAAAGCTTAAGCTCTCACTGGGAGGCAGGCACTGGGAGGCAGGAGGAATGAGTGGACACAGCCTTAACAAATGCCCGCAGGCCCTCTCCACACCTTCCAGGGGGTGAGGTTCCCCGTGTGATGGACGCTGACAGACCGTGGGTAAGTCAGCAGGCCAGGCTTGGGCGGTTTGCAGAGTGGTTGTTAACTCCTTGTTTCCTGCTGAGCCCCTGAAGCTTGGCTACCACCCTCGCTCTCCCCAGCTCCTCTCCCCACTGCGAAGTCACAGCCCTCCGTCTGCTTCTGTGGGCAGCAATGGGGAGCCTGAGGTGCCTCCATCCCAGGTGAGAGCCAGGGCTCTGGGGGGCCATGTCCTCGTGGCCAAAACACATGCTGAAGCTTGCTGTCATCTGCTCCCTACCTGACCCCAGCTAAGATCAGAGAGAGGGGCTCAGGCGGGGAGGCAGCCTGCCTCCAGTCAGTCATGTTGGGCTGCTGTGGGTGTTAGCCCGCTTGGGCTGCCGTGACAGAGTACCACAGGTTAGGGCACTCAGACGGCAGAAATGTGTTGAGTCACAGTTCTGGAGGCCCGACATCCAGGATCAAGGTGTCAGCAGGGTCGGTAGGTCCAGGTCAGTAGGGTTGGCTCCTTCAAGGGCCATGAGGGAGAATCCATCCCAGGCCTCTCCCCAGCTTCTAGTGGTTGCCTGACAATGTTTGGTATTCCTTGGCTTTTAGAAGCACCACCCAGTCTCCGCCTTCATCTTCACCTGATGTTTTCCCTGTGTGTGTTGTCTCTGTGTCTAAATTTTCCCTTTTTAGAAGGACACCATCCTATTGGATGAAGGCCACCCTAATGACTTAACTAATTATAGGGTCACACTGCAAGGTACTAAGGGTTAGACTTCAACGTAGGACTTTTAGGGGGACACAGTCACTCCATAGCACCATGCTTCTGACTTTATCCATCTCCTGCTGCCGTCAGCACGGCCTATGGGGAGGAGGCCAGAGTGAGTCCACCTCAGGGAGGGTCCAGAGCGGAGCGGGGGGACGGGGAGGGGGGGCACGTCATGAGGCGGCCTGGAAGCAGGGAGGCCTTTGCTGGAAGTAGAGGGTTTGCGCCGGCCCGCGGAAGTGTCCCGGGCGGCTGCAGAAATGGGGAGCGGCGGCTATTGGTAGCCGGTGCAGGGATTCGTCCTTGACGCCTTTGTGCTCAGAGCTGGCAGGAACCTGAAGGAGAAGAGAAGCCCCGAGTGGGCAGCCCGTCAGCCCGGGACAGACTTGCTAGGGGAAAGCAGGGGGCAGGCTGCCCCCAGGATCTGGGTGAGGGGACCCCTGGGACTTGAGGGGACGGGGAGAATAGCGATCAGGGTCCAGAGCTCTGGAGGACTTTCAGAAGGTC